GACCAATGAGGTAATTTTAGATGATGGCACATAATTTCATACATTCTTATGGCTAAGCTTTTTTATATGAAATGCTGCATTTTGCTTCTCCATTTCTTTAGAATCATTCAGTTTGTCAAGCTGCCACACAGACTGCTGATACTTCCATAAAGCTCCCAGCTGTTACTGAGAGAAGAAACAGCAGGTGGAAGTCAGACATGGAAGAGCAAAAGGATAAAGATGGCATAAAAGGAAATGTTTTCTGGATTAAAGGTTGCTAGCTTTTATATTAAGTAACCAAATCTGGGATTGTGCCTAAATGTGGGTTTATGCATCTGACTTGGGTACAGGAGGGTAATTTTTGTGGATCTAATAATGACCAAGTGCAATGTACTGTGCTTTGGGGGGGAGGATGCTGTTTTCTTGATTTATGGGGGTGGCCTTTGGGTCAAACACCTTATAGGAATTTTTCAAATTACGTGGGTGGGCAGGTATTAGGAGCTAAATGCTGAATAGTTAAATACATTGATGTTGGTTAGAGAAGACTGAAGTGCTAGATCATACTGAAATTAGGACCAGATAAGTTTTGCAGAAGCTGCTGATGGAGAAATGCAAGAGATACTTTTTCAGGTGGCAAGAGGGAGGGATAGCTCAGTGGTTTGAGCATTGGCTTGCTAAACCCAGGATTGTGAGTTCAGCCCTTGAGGGGGCCATTTAGGGATCTGGGGCAAATCTGTCAGGGATGGTACTTGGTCCTGCTGTGAGGGCAGGAGACTGGACTCTGTTACTTCTCAAGGTCCCTTCCAGCTCTGAGATGGTATGGTATAAGAGGATTTATCTAAGAATTGTAGTGGTTAAATAAGAGGATTTATCTAAGAATTGTAGTGGTTATTGTAGCTGGCTTCTCGAGAAGTGTGCTGCTGGTCCCATTCCCATGGAGCTGGCTCATACAGAGTCAGCAGGGCAGGACTGCAAATACAGCTCCCCAGGAGTCAGTGCATGCCAAGAGTTGGCTTTTATGCCAGCTCCTGCCTGCCACCCCACATGAGGGGAGCCAGCTGCTGCCTCACACCACTGACTCTGGTACAAAAGCAGCAGTACGGTTTGGTAGCTGGCTCCCCAGAAGCCAGACTAGGAGCTGGTATGTAACCGTTTAGGTGCCTGATTACACTCTTATATCCCTAATGCATATTTATTCATTTTTTTCTAAAGTTAATTAAGTATTTTAGGAAAAAATTACAGTGCATCCACCAGCAAGAACTGGTGGCTGCACTCTCAGATGATAGTAATATTTGTTGTGAGGACCCCTGGTCTAAAATGACTTTAGATAAAGAATGTAAGGGCAAAGAACGGAAAGAAAAGTGCAAGTATGTGTGTGATTGATTTGCAAATGTATATTTTAAATTAAGTAGTGCTGGAAAAGGATGAGAGCTATGGGATATTCTTCTCCCATAGTCCTCACAATTCTTTGCATATTTGTCAGGTAACTCCTGGAGAAAAGATAGGGTAACTAAGCTCTCCTACTTTTGGTGGGGTTCATTTTGTGGTAATGGTGGGGAAGAAAGTTGTAGTTGTATAGTGGGATAGCAGGCAATTGTTAACACCAAATGCAGCTGCTAATTTGCTTTCTTGCCTGTCAATCTTGCTTATGTGAACTCTGTGAATCTTTCCCCTGCTTCATCCTTCTTCAGTGCATCTAGTTATTGGCCTCACTGTCAAGGATCTATTCTTTCTCATGTACCTGTTTTTTTCTTTTCACACCTACGTCCCCTTTACGCCTCTGCTCTGATAGTCATTGATGCTCATACTTTTGATTCACAGTTTTTTGAAATCCCTGCATCAGGCAGACAAGGGACCTGAAATTATGTCTCCCACCTCTACGCTGAGTTGGTTATTCATTTATTCATTTTTAAATTTAAAAAGTTCTTGTTTTCATTCCAGTGCAGACTGAAAACAAATTCTGAAACCTTGAAAATGGGTTTGAACCAGAAATTTTCTTTTTTTGAACAGCCCTACTTATTTCAGTCTATTCTACTTTCAATGTTTATGCTATTCTGAAGTAATGTATATTTGAGATAGCTGAAGATATAACTTTGGAAAGACTACTTGTTAAATTGAGTGAAGTTGTGACTACTATACATGATTTGATGCTTCATTTACAAGGTTATATCTTTTGGTATTACAGATTCAAATTCTAGGCAGATCCACTTGAGTCAGAAGTTTGAGTCAAATTCATCTGAGGTAATTAAAAAAAAAAAAAGACAACCAGTTCTTTCTCTCTCTTCCTCCTGTATATGCATTAAGCGTGGAGTGACCATATTTCCTAAAGGTGTCCCCTCCCTCCATACTGTCACTCTAATCCTACTGGCTCCCATGCACCAGAATTCTCCTTTCACTATCCTAACCCAGTCTCCTCCCTATATGGGGTTGGCATTTCCATTTGCCCCCTGCATGGTTCCTCTGCACCATACTCTACTTTTTTTTAAGGAATTATTTGTCCTGTTTGCTCTTGGCAACTGTTTAAGTTGGGAAGAGCAAACAGGTCAAATGCCTATTTTGCTAAAAAGTTAGGGTGGCTGGGAGAGGGATTAAAAAGGACTATTCTGGCCCAAAAGGGACATACGGTCTCCCTAATTAAGCATAGCATAAGGTGGTTAGCAGAGAGGTAGTTGTCTTCAGAGCCCAAACCACTGCTGTTTCTTTAGTACTTTTTGTAGATTATTGTAAGAGGGAGATGTGTTATTTTTGACCTTCCTCAGAACCTTTAAGAGTCTGTTGATTTGGACTCCATATGGTCACAGTGTGGCTATCGGTTCCTCTCTGGTGGTTGGACCTCAGAAGTTTGAGTCTGAATGGGTTTCGATCTAAAGCAGGGGTGGGCAAGAAGTAGCCAGTGGGCCAAATGCAGCCCACCAAGTTGCTGGATCTGGCCCACAGCTGCCTCACAGGAACTCTTACCACAGAGCAGCTCAAACAGCTGGCTGCTCTCTGCTCTGGATGCTGGGGAGGGAGAGGAGAGGCTTCACATGCTTACACTCCCCACACCCCCTGCAAAATCTCTTGGCTCCCATTGACCAATTTTGGGCAATTGGGAGCTGAGAAATTTTGCTGGGGCACAGGCAGCAAGCGAAGCCTCCTACTTCTCTCCCTCCACCCCCTCACTGAAGCAGCCAGTCATTTTGACCAACCTGGGACTGCAGCAACAGAGCCTGTCTTGAGTTCCTGCAGGACATCTGGCTGGGAGATGCCTAGGTAAGCGCCTCCTAGCCAGAGCCTGCCTCCCCCCAACTACCTGCTCCAGGCCACCACCCAAATCCTCTGTACCCGCTCTCCCCACCTCCTCCAGGTCACAACTCCCTCGTGGACCCTGCACTGCCTCCTGTACCTCTCCCCCAGGCCAGATACTCTCCTGCATTCCAAGACCATGCTCCAGATCACAACGCTCTCCTTCACTGAAACTCACTCTCAGATCTCAAACCCTCTCCTGCACCCCAGACTCTTGCCCCAACCTTCCTCTGTCGCTGAGCTAGCGTCCCCTCCATAGAAATGTGGCCCTTGACCACTTTCCAAAATCTTGGAGTGGCCTCCCATTAAACAATATTTCCCATCCCTTAACTATGGGTTTCTTACTGTGATCCTGCTGCCAACAGATGATCAGCAGGCATCACATTGTGCTGGCATAAAAGCAATCTGACAAACCCTCCTGAAGCCTCTATCCCACTTTGTTTAAAAGTTTTGTATGCTTAATATCTTTTAATGGTATTTTTGTAGAAAATAGAATAGCACTGACTCTATTTCTAATTTTGTAATAGAAGAATGGTGGAAATGACAAGTTTCCAAAAGCTTCATCTCCTTTGAAACAAGAAGAGACCCATTCTCAATCTTCCACTGAACAAGTAAGAAATGTTTGTTTAACTTTGATGTTTTTTAGCCATGCATCCTTCTTGCCATCTCAGCAATATTGCTCTTTGTATTGTGGCAGTGCTCAATGCCCCCAGTGAGGATTGGAAACTCATTATACAAAGTGTTGTATGAAGACCTAGTCCCTATTCAAAAAGATGTCAGTTTAATTGTAAGGATCATTCCAGGAGTGTTTGAGTAAAGGGTTAATTCACATGTACCTTTTTAATGAATACTATCTTCTCTTTTTTTTCCCCCCCCTCCAGCTATTACACCTTCTGTGGCTTTCTTAGAGACTAATATCATTCCATCTA